AGTATTTAGCTGAGAACTAATTACGTTCATAGTGGTTGCATGGACATATTAATAAAACTTCTCATCGTAAGCATGCATGTTGATTTACTTTCATGGTCTCATAGTTATTTCAATGGGATTTTGATTGGAACATTCATCGTATAGTCCAACACAACTGCAATGCTCAATTTATTATGTCTAAAAACTGAACTACAACACAAAGAGAAGAATAAGTGATGGGTTGAATATTTTAATATAACTTCTTTCTGATCATAAGAAGACTTCAACAACGGGCCATCTTTCATTTTGTACTTCTAGAGTTCAGCACATCAGTTACATTGCATGATCAAAATATCATGAACTATTAAAAGGTCGTTCTTTAATGCATGCTTCCACCTATAACAAATAACTCGCCAAGACTTTTTCGAATAACATGTAATCTCGCAAAAGTAAGGGTTAAAATAAAGAACCATAATGACCCCAAGACAAAACACCACATATGCTCCTGCAAAAGTCCACAAGAAGGCATCTTGGAAGTTGTCATCTTTCCAATGATGAAGTTGCTTGGATCTCCCAAATGGTTTATCGTCAATAGACGAAAAATTTTTCCTGTAGAGGTGGGCCTCATAGAAAAGGATTCCCTTCATTAACTACTTGGTCCAAAAGTTGAAAATTGATATTGCATGTTAGGAGTCATTCCAGATAGATTATATAGGCCACAGAAAATATAGACAAGCAGTAAAGTTGTGTTATTTGTGCTAGAAGTGGCCCGTCAATTTGTTGTGTGAAAGATCCAGGCTTTCTATTGGCTTAAGGTTAACAAACGTATCTGGAATAAGTCCTTTCAAATCGTGTTTGACAAATTTAAGGCATGAATAGTGCTTAAGTATCCAATTTGTGAAGGAATTTTACCTATCAACTGATTCCCGATAGATCCAAACCTGACATCAAATTTAAAATACTCCCTTTGTAGATTCATACCTCCATTTGGATGTAAAATCTATTTCTTGATATCTAGACAATGTAACATTTCCTTCACTTTTATATATATGAATTCTGAAAGTCCAGTCCCATGCAAAGAATGGAAGTTCTATCATCCATGACGTAATGAAATAGCCTATTTTTGTTTCTTGTAGTGCATCCCCCTTCCGAATGAAATGTTATTCAAGCAATATGGTATCCTTCCAGAAAGCTTATTTTGAGAAAGATCTAATATACTTATTTTCCTGAGCTCACATAAATCAATAGGAAATGGAACCTTCAAATTTGTTTTCTTTCAAGATGAAACACTTAAATTCAAAAATAAGCTAAATAATTTTGGAAACTTGACCTGAAAAATTGTTTTCTCATCAAATCCAAAGTCAGTAAGGAGAATTGGCTAAAGTAGAAGGTAAAGGTCCCATGAATTGGTTGCTTTGCAAATGCAAGGATTTCAATAACGGCATATTGAGACAACTTGGCAAAGAGCCCTTGAATTTATTTTAGAAAGCTCTAGATATATAGCTTAGTTAAGTTGCAAAAGCTTTGTGGTACTGAACCTCTCAAAGAATTCTTGGACAAAATGAGGTAACTCATATGTTGAAAATTTCCAATCCAGCTTGGTATTTCACCAGATAGTTGGTTGGCACTTAAATCCAACATTCTTAATCCCGTACTATTAATGATCCAAGTTGGAATGTTTCCTTTGAAGTTATTATTGTTGACCAACGAACAACAAAAATGTCTGAAGGTTGATTTGACAGGAAAACATGGGCCACTCGGTTATTGTGATAGCCTCATAAACCTCAACTCAGAAGCCCCCACGACCAAATTCTCGGGGCAAGTAACCAGATAAATTATTATCTGACAAGTCAAGATCATTTAATTGTCTCATTTCACCTATTGAAGCTGGAAAATACCTTGCAATGAACACGAAGACATGTTTAAGAAATCAAGTTAGGAAAAATAGAGCCAATGTTTGAAGGCACATCATGATTATGGGATTAGAGGAAACATCAAAAAATTGCCATTTGAAGCAATTTTGAGGTGGAATTGGGTTCAAATGGACCAGTCAACAAGTTGTCGCTCATAGCAAAGTATTTAATTTTGTGTTAAGTGTCAAGAGCCAACATGGGAACTCCCGAATGTCAAGTGTGTGAGTTCTAGAACAAGCAAGTCCTGTTGATAAAGAAGAAGGGTAGGCATTTTGTTATTGTTTACTTCATCAGAGTGCAGCCGTTGATGTATAGAGAACTCAATTGAAGGAAGGGAAAATGGGGGATTCTCAGTTTTCGAGCTTGACATTGGCGTTATAACATGACATGTGAAAGTCTCGAAGATTGGAGTGGTTGGCAAGCAAAGAAAGTGAGAATGAGCCCCTGAAATTGTCATCAGAGAAAGAAACTGTGGCTAGAGATCTCAAAGTATGAAAGAGTCAAGAAGGAAAGGTTCCGTCAAAACGATCGACTCAAGACCAAGTAAACTTAGAGATGTCAAATTGCCAAGGCACATTGGAAGTTGCCCCTCAAAATTGTTTAAGGAAAGATCCAATTGTTGAAGATTCTTCATATTGCACAAGCCTCCTGTAATATAATTAACTTGTTTAAAATCAGTTAATCTATGAAAGAAATTAAAAAACTTAAGATATAGCTTAAAGGTTTAAACTTTGAGATTGGCCCGCGCATGTGGCTTAATAATATTCCAAGGGCAAAATTGATTTTTGGGTTTACTATGCTTCAACAATGATTTAAATTTATAGCTCGGCCCAAGAAAAGGCTGAGCATACGCCCAAATATCTTTACGAACTCATAGGGATAATGCATAGAGAAATTAAAACAAGAAAGTGAATTTTCAGTTTGATCGTATTTTTATTTAGCCTTTGCATGAGAATGAAACCTATACTTAATATACAATATAGCTCGATTTTATTATTATTTTTAAATCTTTATTGCCAATATTGTGTGCTTCGACCACATTTTAAACTAAAATATTCATGAAAAAATGTGATAGATTGTGAACAGAATTTTTTATCAATGTAATAATCTAATCTTAGTGGTGGAATAGTCAATTAAAGGATATTATTTTTACTGCAGATGCTATAAATATGATACGTACCTTGTTTAGGCAGTGAGCCATTCATGTTGTTGTGGCTTAATGATAAGAAGGTGAGGGAAGAAGAGACATAATAGATTCTGGAAGACTACCCTCCAAGAAATTCCCACGAAGGCTCAGAACCTTCAAATTGCGTGAACGAGAAAGATCTGTCAATAAATTCCAAATGAAAATGGATTTATTACATTAAATAGGTTGCCAGTTAGAAGCTTATTAGACGAAGCTTTTGCATGGATCACTAATCTACTGGAAATGTCCTTATAACCTTAATGAATAGTGCTGCCATTACAACCTATTGCTTTACATTATAGTCATAAAGTTTTGATCACTAATCTCTTTAGTCATGTTTCTATCATAAATTAAACAAAAACGCACACCATTTTATATTTAACTCCCAAGTATTCTCAAGAATTTCTGGAAGTTTGACGGATAATCTTTCAATTCTTTGAATAAAGAAACGAATGTTTTAATTTGAAGTTTAGCTCATTTTATGACACTGAAAATCGAGGAGTTAATTAGTAATTCTAGTATATGTCAATCGAGTTGACAAAATGAAGAGAGAAAAAATTAATGCTGTGTTTGCATTAATGGGAATTTGAACTTGAATCAAATCCTTCATTTAAATACATCAAATTTATGAATTCAAATTCAAATTCATTTTTTATTATAATTTATAATTTTAAATTTCCTCTACATCCTTATCATTTAAAATCTTAATCACTTTAAATTTTTCTTTTGTTTTTAAATGTTTTTACTATTGATAACTCTATAATTATCATATCTTTTCTCATGTCTCATTGTCGCTTCTCATCAATTAAAAAACAAAGATGAAATTACAACTTTCAATATTCCATTTTCATTTTAAATATCGAATCATCTCTCTCTTTTATTTGAAATTTTTTATACTACCCAAATAAATAATTTAAAATACATAAATTTTAAATATAAGATTTTAAATTTAAAATTCAAATACAAATTCATTGATCCAAACACCACCTAGCCAAAAGAATTTTAAGGATTAGATAGAGAAAAATTCTGTCTTTATATTTCTTATAGTGATAATTTTTCTAAAAAAAATGTTGGTAATCTATTGCTCTCAAAATAGAAAAAAATATGGAGGCAGGATCCAGTAATAAGAAGATGCGATTTTAATCAAAGAATCAGGAAAATAGAAACCAATCACCAAAAGATGGGGCTTCTGTGAGCTCATTTCCCACTAAAAACAGCAATTCCAAGCTGTGGAGCCTAATATCGCCAAACAGCCCTGCTCCACAAACAACAGGTGATCGATCAATTGCTTTGGATGTTAATGGGTAAAAAATTATATAATTAAATAATCAGTATTCTCTTCAAAATTTAACATCAACTTCAGGTTCAATATATTATAAAGCTAGTGCGTGATCTAGAGCACATTGGAATTCAGATCAGTTAGACACACTTGCGCGTATATTAAATAAAGTTTAAACAAAGAAAATACTGTCTATGGTTTATAAATAAATTAAATTAAATACAACATTCTAACAAATATTTGAAGGGTCGATTGAAAATGACGAGTAAAGATCTGGTTAAATACATGTGGTATATACATAGTTTGCGATCGGAGTTTAGAAGGCTTGAAAATGTCTTTACACACAAGGGAGTGAATGATAAAATTAAATAGTGAAAGGAATGAGAGAACCTGACTGTGACAAGTAATTCGCCCACAAATCCAAGTGTTGAAGTTGGTGGAAAGGGAGAAAGTAAGAAGCATTAAGAGACCATTTGATGCGTCTCAACTCTTGAGGTCTGGTGTGACTCAGATCAAGCTCTATCACTCTGTGAGTGTAGTTGTCACAGGCTACACGCTCCCAAGTGCAGCAATCAGAATGATTGGTAAGGTTATTCCAGAAGGAAGAGAAGAGCCATTTGGGTAATTGAATGCTTCTTTCAGTTTCAGAGAGCTTCTCTCTCTTCTCTCAAGCATCCCTCTCCTCCTCCAACATGAAGCCCTAATATTGTCATTCCCACGACGACCACCACCCACCACGTTTGTTCTCTCACTGAATACCCCATTTCTCAGTATATGCTTCTATCGTTATTGGCACTGCATGTCTTCAATTCCCAATTAATGTTCATCTATATATAGTGCCAGTAAAGTGATTTTTTCTTTTTCTTTTTTTGTGTCTGAAGTAGAACGGTAAGAAGACTCATGAGTTGGGCACTACTTGTACATATGCTCTAAAACACGTGATGTCATATTTGCGGAGAAGATTCGGTAGAGAATAATCGTTTTTCCTATATGATATCGGACGGCCAGGAACGATCACAATGACTTTTCGATCGAGACTCAGTTTTAGGAGTAATTAAATTTGGAGGAGTTAATTGTCACTTTTGACCACAATTTCCATTTTCCAAAAGGTTCCATAAATGCTTATCTTTTCGAATTAATCAGGAAAAAAAAATGTTACAGAACAGCCCATGGAAGAAGGCCTAGCTAGTTTCACATCGTGTGTCATGGTGGAAAAAACTAGGGAAATATACATGAAACATCTATGTAAAAGACCTGATTAATATAAAAATACAAAAAATACTTTTTTTTTTTTAAAGAAAGATAGCCTTTAAAAATAAATAAAATGTAATAATACTGAAAATAAGAAACTCTCCCATATCAGCGAAGGCTTGAAAAATGGCTTAAGGATTAATGGATGATCCCCTGCGGTAACAAATTTGTATGCTGGAGAGCTTGGAATAGGAAGAGAAGCAAAATAGAAAGCTCCACTTCAAAATCTGATATAGACTTAATTAGTCGTTTTAATTGTCTGAAAATTTACGGGGGGAAAAAAATAATAAGATTCCTTCCCCGAAATACAGGATTATATTGGACTTCACCTCTCAATTCATGATCCTGCCTGCTTCTAACAACGTTCACGGCACAAACTCTTACATTCTTTTGTCACTATCTTTCAAAATCGATCAGTGCGTATGCTTTGGCATTTCTGCACAACGTGTCAAAGACGAGACTGTGATGGTGCATACATGTCTCAAGTAAACTATACGTCTTCCTGCATTGGATGCCTGAATATCTGTCCACATTATCTCTAATTTCTCAGCAAACCTATCAGCAGGAATAATATTTGACATCAAGTTGTATATAAACAGACAAATAAGTGTAAGCAGATCCATATGAAGATGGGAGCACTTGAGAAGATTTGGATATCTCAAGTCTCCCGTCAACATTTGTGTTTTATATATAACTTCTCAAGTGCTCCAAGTTATGAAGTGGAGCCTTCTGAAGTGAGCCATTTCATAACCGAAACAGACTTTTGTGGTTTAATCGTCTAAAAGATTATAAAAAGATGAAAATTCCTTGCCCCTAAAAATTTACGATTGGGCTTAACCTCTCAACTATAAAAAATCAGTGCATGTGCCTGTGGCATTTATACACAATCATACAGACAATGACCATCAAAGGGAGTGTGTGAAGCTAGACTTTATGGCAGATGAGATAGTGGTGCTAGAAGTAAACTACACGTCTAAACCCTTCTTTACGTTTATCTATAAATTAAATGTTATGGTTAATTATAGGATAATAACTTGTGCATTAACATCACACTATACCAATTTGCATCGCACTCGATTAATTAGCCAACGACTCCAATGTGCCAAGAGTTATACAATAACAAAAAGTCAGAAAAATTAGCTGACAAAAGTTAATCCAATTAATAAACATTTGACTCAACCCATAAAGCATATAATTTTTTCAAATCAAACTTTTGACATGAGGATTTTGTTAGTGAACAATCTATAAATATTTCCTTAACATTATTTCTCAGAATCTAATTCACCTAAATTTTGTATACAAAAGAAAAATCAGAAAAATAAGTGATGGTTGAATGGCGGAACGAATGCTAGCCAACAGGGGTTAATCTACACACACACACACACACACACAGAAGTGCAAAAAAATATTAAAAATAAATAAAAGAAAGACATATCAAATCCACTTAGAAAAAATAATTCCATTCATTTTTTAGAGCAGGTCATTTTTCCTCCATAGAATGAGAGAATCAGGATGTGAAGAATTCTTCCAAATTCTCCGATTCATGCCTGACAAGGACTTTAAGTCTTTTGTCAGACAAATTAGAAAGAAATGAAGGTTCCTTCCTCCACAATACACGGTAACATCTCTATATTTCTGATGTAATAGCCATATATATCTACTCAAAAATCAATGCACGCGCTTGGACCTTTGTGAACAGCAGAGAGGCAACGAGAAAGCCCTGTTCTGAATCCCATTTCTCATAAATTATATCAGAAATAGGCTTGAATAAGCTTTGTTCCACGTATTGCGTGGCATAGACTATAGTATTAGTTTAGCCACTTCAGCATTTAGCTGATTGATTTTTTGTATTAATGAGTATTAATAGATTAAAATAGTATGCAATCTGATTGGAAGACTACATATTGACACAGCAACATATATTGTTTAATTTTAATCTCTCAGTCTCAATTCCTGATCAGGTACAAGCACTTGGATGCCTTAGGAATCAAGTATCTAAATCTAATTCATCCCCTCAACCTTGCTTTCCAAGCTTCCATAAAGATCAGTGTCACCTAAACTAACTGAGCAGAAAATCACAGCAGGAAGCTCTGAAATAGCAGAAAGACAACCATCGAGAAGAAATTGGTGACTCAGCAGGTGAAGAATTTGCGGAATACCTTAGAAAATCCAAAATTTTTTAGACTCCGTATATTATATTATATATATGTAGATGTATTTTAAAATATTACATATAGGTATAAGTAGTAGTAATAATTCCACCTCGATTTAGCCATTATTCATTCATTAAATTTCACATATATATCAATCAATGACTTATCCGCGCGCTCGTGTAAATCTATCATTGGCTGAATTAAAGAGACTAAGAGAGATTCAGAAAGGTATAAAGAAAAAACAGAGGCCTGGAAAGGCAAAGTATTGTTCAACATTCATATTACATCCCACAGACCTTATGAAATCATGCGTGATGATCTCATTATTGAGTGAGGAATGCAAGCAAATAAGGCACCACTTCTCCTGATTAATCATCTCCAAAGCTCAGCTCAACAGCTGAAATACGAGCGTTCTGTTACATGGAAAACTAGGAGCAGGTGTCATTAGAAGATATCTGGGTCATAATTAGGATTCAAGCAAGAGAGACAATATAATAGCCTAAGTGTAACGTGATTTATAGTCTCCAATCTGATTAATGATTACTAGAGAGAAATTATAACTAGTTTTCTTTCATTACTTGTTGGTATTTCAGTATATCCATCATTAGGTCTTGAGAGAACAAGGTTTTTCTCAATAAAAGGCTCAAATAAGTATCACCACAGAAAATCTATGATTTCTTGTTTTTCATAAAGTCCAATTAACAAGGAGAATTGGCCAAAGTTGAAGGCATAGGTCCCATGAATTGGTTGCTCCGCAAATGCAAGTATGGAGGGGGGAAAAAAGAGGACATTTTTGTAATTATTCAAAAAGCCTCGCTATACTTAGATGGCATTTTAACAATTGAAAGGACTTGTGAGGGTCAATGTGACATTCAATATGAAGATGGATAATCGCAAAATAGTTGAAGCGTGTGTGTACGTATGCACGCGCGCATACACGCACATATATATTTTTTACCCACGTTGAGGATGACGAGTATTCCAAATGCAGAATACTGGCCAACCAAGTCATCTTTGGATTCATATATACCATGATGCTCATTTACATGATCATTATCATTATGATAATATCTGGACCATTCAAATAATTTAATCTAAATAATGCAAATTTAAAGTTTTTTAATTTATATTTATTAAAATAAAAAAATTGCAAAAAAAAATTCAATAAATCTGTTTATTACCAACTCAATAGTTTAGATTTAATTTGGATTGTCCAAATTTAATATTAAAATTTTTATAATTTTATAAATTGACTATCTAGATTTATTTCAGATTTAAACTTTTTAATTAATAATTTTTTAAACACATATACTTTAAAAGTACCCGTTTGAATATTATTTAATTTTTTAATTAAGAAAAATTAATCTGCAAATCCTTCTAATTTTCCTTAATTTTGAATAATTTTTCTTTAGTTTATTTTATTTTAATCAAATTTTTATAGTTTAATTGATTAAATATGTTAGTCCCTAAAAGTTAAATTATTAATGAATGGTTGATTTTTTTAAAATAAAAAAATTTTAATTTTTTATAAAAATTAGTTTAATAATTTTAGCCAAAATTTTTATTAGTAAAATTTTATTTTTATTAATTATTTTCTGAAAATTCTATATATATAAAATTTATTTAGAAAAAATAACTTAGTCATGTAAAATTTGAGTTATAAAAATTTTGTAACTAATTCTAAATTTTAATAAACATATAAAAGGTCTTTATTTCATTTTTTTAAAAGAAAAAATTAAATAATTTTCACAACCAAGGACTAACATATATTTAATCAATTAGACTATAAGAACTTAATTAAAATAAAATAAATTATGAGGATCTAATTTAAAATTGAATAAAATTATTATAACTTCTAGATTAATTCAGCCTTTTTAATACTGTATTTATGAAAATATATGTTTAAAAATATTATAAAAAATTAATATAAAATTTAAATTATTCAAAGTATATCTGAATAAATAATTTATAAAAATTATAAAAATATCAATGTTAAATTGGACCATTTAATTTAAATTTATATTATTTTTATTTATGATAAAAAATTGTAAATTTTGTATTTTAATAAATATAAAATCAAACTATAAATTAAAAAATTTTAAATTTAAATAATTTAAATTTAAATCTCATTATTTTGATGAGCACCATCCCTTTTAAGCGCTGAAAAACGGACTGGCAGACCAACCATTTCGATAATAAATTCGTCCACCTCATGTGGGAGTAATTTACCACATGGTCCTCATGTTTTTTTTTTGGAAATTGTCATCTATAAAATATGAAGGCGGGCGTGGATTTTCACAATCTTAAGAACCTTTAAAAGAAGATTGATTCGCCAACGAAGACGTGACGCAATTGGTCAAGAACTTGGCCTTTACTCCACAAGGGCAAAGGTTCAACAATTCCGCTGATTAATGTGAGGCAATCATTGATGGATGGTCTATAATTCTTCCT